GCCACAGCCTACCTGAGTATTGTTGCTGACCATGTCCATCCCTTTATGACCACAAAACCGTCACTAGCGTGGTGTACCTAATAAAGTGGCCGGTGAGTGTAAATACATATTATAACACATTCTCACTCCCGACTTGTCACATATTGACGCTTTTCCAAGGTTCCCTCTGCATCTTATTTTGACGCGTTGGGTACACCCAGTTTTTGACATACCAGGCATTTCCGGGTTCCCTCGGTGTCCGGGTTTGACGCATTGGGATGCAAAATATTTGATTTTGACTTGGGGTCCATGGTTAATATTAGGGATCAGGGTTCATGGTTAATTTTAGGTAGTGGGGTCAGGGAAAAGATGTCTAGGGCGAATATTATGTAATTTTAGGCTTTGGAACACGTAGTTCACGTGAATTTCCTACAATTCCTAAAAATGGTTAATTTTAGGTATCAGGGTTAATGGTTAATTTTAGGTACTAGGATCAGGGACAGGATGTCTAGAGTGAATAAAGGTAATTTTAGGCTTTGGGACGGTAGTTTTTGTGCATTTTCTACACTTTCTGAAACTATGACAACGGATTCCGCCCCATCTCGTCAATAACTGACGCAAGGGGTGTAACCGATGCGTCAAAATGTGACGCAGAGGGAACCTTGGAAAAGCATCAATATGTGACGACTTGGGAGTGAGAATGGGTTGGATTTATAAGATTTCAATAGTAAGATTTCATTATACTCTGCACAGATTCAAGTCACCATGTGTCAGATTTTTGTTAAAAAATGTAAATTAGTCTACTAATGTAAATTTAACTGATCAGATAGTTACAGCTCCTGAAGAAGATTACCATAATAGAATAAGTTTTAGTTCAAATACAGCCATTAGTCTAATTTAAAATACAAATAATCAAATATAATTTTATCCCAACTGTATAATTTAAACATTTATATGAATCTTTAGCAATTATTCAAGTCTCCTCCTTTAGAAGGAGATGATCTCTAAGTGCTCCACATGTCAGCCATGTTTGTTAGACCTGCACTGACTGCTCAGTGAGTTACAGTTTACCATCATCCCACCTGTTCACCAAAGAGTCAGCTTCTGATCTGCTATCCACTGACCATGTTTCTGTAGTTTATGTATCGGGTAACGTTCTGAAGAATGTCCTCTGTGCTTGTCACTCAGTCCTGGAGAAGATGAGGGGTGCTGTTGGAAGTGCACAGCTTCTGATGTCCCAGAAGTTTCAGCAGTTCAGGGAGCTGTGTGAAGATAACCTGGTGAGTGACAAATATTCTGAAAATGTTCAGAGTTAATAAGAACTGGATGGACGAACTTACACTTTAACAAACAACATGAGTGTCTTATAATGATGGGAACCATTAATGTTGGTCTGAACACAGACTGGGTTCAGACTTTTCTGTCTCTGATGAATCTTAGAAACCAGCTTTACATTTTCATTTAACTTTATTTTGTGCATGTTTTTCCCCAAAATATTTCTGTTTCAAGTCAAATTTGCCTTTTGTTTGGTTCCAACTCAGTAAAAAGTGTTTTGATGACTTTGGTATATTAAATAATTTAACAATTCAAGAGCAGTTTGGTATACTCTGAGAAAGAAAACTTACTTTCTCTATTTGTACAGTTTAGATTTTCTTTGACCTGGATGTAAATGGTTGAAATTGGGCGACCTTGAATCTCATTAGAATGAGAGGAGAAAGTCAGCTAGTTAAAGTGTTCAGTGTATCTGCATACAGAGCAGGTAACTGACATCTGATCACAAAAACTGTTTGAACTTTACAACAATTCTCTCAACCACAGCTTGACACCTGCAGTCAGTTCACACGAGGTGGATGATTAGGGTCAGGGCAACGTCAGAATATCTGCCAACATCCGGAACGTTTTTTTCTTATATAACATTTACTGCTGGCCTCTTGATTAGATCAACCTTGAAAATGAGATTTTCATCTCAGTTGGTTTTATTTGGTTAAATAAAGGTGTTAAAAATATGTTGGGTTACCTGGAGGAGAACATCTGAACAGACTTTCAAATTCACATTTCTAGAGTGTGGAACCAAGTAAAACAATTATTTTTAAAAAATGTTGTCCACTAAACTGGCAGTTGTTGAATATTTTTGTTTTAATGAGATCATTTTTTCTTCCCTAAGTATTTCAGCATCTAACTCCACAATTTTTGTGCTTTTCCAACAACTCATATATCATGAGTTTGTATGACTATGAGTATGTATGACTTTTGTTTTTTCATTTATTTGTACTTTTTAAGCTACTTCACTTTTTAGCCTCTTTTTTGTCATTGAAAATTATTGGAGCTGTTTTCAGCATCCTTAAAATCTTTTAAAATGTTTCTAAATCTTTACAGCACCTTACACATTTTGGTCTGGTTCTTCTCTTTTTCACTTTTTTGTGCTAATTTTAGCTACTTTTTCCTGCTAATTTTAGATTGTTCTGCTATTTCAGCTAAAATCCTGCTTCTTTCTGCTATTCTTCTGCTTATTCATACTATTCTGTACTTTTTTCTGCTACTTTGAGCTATTTGTATGCTTCTTACAGATGCTTTTTGCCATATTCAGCTATTTGCTGCAATTTTAGCTAAAGTTCATCTTTTATTAGCTAGTTAGCTGTTTTAGGCTAAATGCACATTTTTGTAGCAATTAAAACCTATTTTTACTAAGTTCAGCAAACTTGTGCTGCTTATGCTTCTTTATGCTAATTTTAAAAAAATCCAGCTCCATTTTAGCTGTTTGACTAAAAATTTTGGCTGTTTTAGCTATTTACTAAAATCGTCACTTTTTAGTATTTGTATGCTTTTGTCTGCAATTTTTAAGCTTTTTATAGCACTTTCACCATATGTGTGCTAATTTCAATTTATGGCTGCTACATTTAGATTATTTTATGCTAATTTTAACTATTTTTCTATTGTAGCTTGTAGTTCTGCTTCTTTCTGCTAATCTTCTGCTTCTTCCTACTTTTTGTGCTTTTTCTTCTAATTTTGGCTTTTTATGCTTCTTATAGATTTTTTCAGCTATGTTCAGCTATTATTATTATTTAGCTAATGTTCAGCTTCTATTTGCTAAAGTTTGCTTTTTAAGCTAAATACACAATCTTAAAGCTATTACAACTTATTTTTAATGTTAAGCAAACTTGTGCTCCTTATGCTTCTTGTGCTAATTAAAAATGTTCCAGCTACAATTGAGCTGTTTTACTAAAAAATTTGTCTGTTTACATATTTTACTACAAATTATCACTGTTTTGTACTTTTGTGTATTTTTTTCTGCTATTTTTAAATTTTTTTATAAAACTTTCACTATCTGGTTGTTAATTACAACTTGTGACTGCTACCTTTGGCTTATTTTTATGCTCATTTTAACATACTGTGCTATTTCAGCTTTCTCCTTCTTTCTGCTATTCTGCTTTTTTCTACTTTTTGTGTTTTTTTCTGCTATTTTATGTTATTTACACTTTTTACAGATGTTTTCTGCTATATTCAACTATTTAACTTTTAGATTTCAGCTGTTTTCTGCTATTTCAACTACACTATTGCTCTTTTTTTTACTATTTTTCTGTAAATTTAAACTTTATTGTTGCTTCCTTCAGCTTTGCAAGTTGAACTCACATCAACACTTTTGCTTATTAAAATTTGCAGCACAATTTCAGCAGCTTTCAACTTAAGTTTTCTGCAAGAAGCATTCACACTCACATTTTTGCAGGAAATGCAATTTCTCTAGTTATAAAAATAATATGATCACGCCATATTTGGACCATTTGATTAAATGAAACATTCTTCCTTCTTCTTCTGCACCACATCCTGACTGTCAGAGCCCCAGCACCAACCATCGGCCGGCAGCTTCAGACCTGGCTGGATTCTGGGACATGCTTCAGCTGTCTATTGAGAACATCAGCCTGAAGTTTGATGAGCTTCACCAGCTCAGAGCCAACAACTGGAGAGCTCTGGATCCACCTGAGAGAAAGGTAAGCAGAAGATGCCCTAATGAGGGTTTCATTATTCTGTCACTTCATTACTCTGCTGTGTTCTGTTACTCTGTTACACTCTGTAGGGAAAATATGCTTTGTTCAAAATAGTATGTCCGAATAAAAAGGAATTCGATGGATTTCTTGTTAAAACTTTATTTTCAATCTTCTGACTCCAATCAGGTTCACAGTACAGCACACTGCACACAGGCCTCAGTAAGACCTTGGGCTGAATCAAAACACAGCTGCCCTGCTCTGAAGCAGAGACTCTGCCAAACACCGACAACCTCTTTCCTATTATAATAAAGAAGTGACCTTATAATGTAAATCTCTTCCTGGTTACATCCCTGGAGGTGTTAATTTTTATGTCAGACATCAGAACGTAACTCATTTCTTTTTTTTCTTTTTTTTTCTTTGTGTACTAGAACGTAACTCATTTCTACTATTACTATTTTACTATCACTCTGTTATTCTCTGTTACTCTGTTACTCTATTTTACTCTGAGCTTATTATAAACTGAGCTTTAACCTTCTGAGGCCTGTAGAATCTGAGATGGATCTTAGTTGTCTAAACATTGCACAGTCTGACCTTCAGGGTGAATTGGCTGGGACTTCCACACCTCAGAAGGTTGAAATATGTCCTAAAACTTGTGAAGGATCTTTGTCTCTGCAATATGATGAACACTAAATTTAATTGAATTGAGCTGAATTGAATTGAATTGAATCAGCTTTATTGTCATTTACACACAACATCAAAGATGCAATGCAGAATGAAATTGCAATTAAGAACACCTGTTCAAAGAAAGACACACATAACAAACATGGGGGAACGGATGGCCAGGTCTTGCGCAACATGGTCACACTTCCTTTTGCAGCTTGGAAAATAAAACACACAATGGGATAGACGAGTTAAAAGAGTTGCTCTGATCCTATATTTACTCATAAACACAGAATAACACGCACAAAAAAATGACTCGCAAGAGCAGACAGCAGAGGAGGGGAGGGGGCTGTGGATCAAACACATGGTACAGGGTGGGATACAGTGGAGCCGGTAAAGTTTCAGGTTAATACTCCGTGCTGGAACCAATCAAAGACCCTCCAAAGAGTCCAAAACCAGTTCTTATCAACCCAAGTTCAGTTCATCAAAGTTCAGTTCTCTGTCACCACCACCTCGGCCTTCGGACTGGTCCACCCATGGATGATACGGGGGAGGGAATGGGGAATCAAGCCTTTGTTCACATGTCATCCAGGGAAGTTTTGTTTACTGCCATCCAAGGACAGCAGCTGCAGGGATCAGAAAAATAAACATAATTGTTTTGGGACAAGCGGCCTTGAATTTCTTGCTGCTTCAAAGTCAGTAACTGCATCTCTGTATTAGCGAGAGAGAAAAATGCAGAATGTTTCGAACTTCATCACCTCCTTGCCTCTCTTTCCGTCTGAAACTTCACTTCACCCAGGTGTAATCTTACTCCTCATGGGCACGCTGCTGAACTGTGATTCTCATCACAATCACATCCAGTATGTGACTTATATCCCCCAACTGTGCGTGACCAGGATGGGAGATTCCATTCAAGGTTCCTGACAGCTTCTCACAGGCTTGGACTGCTGTCAGGATCGCTTTCATTTTCCGATAAGCCAGGACTCCTCCACAGCAGGAATCCAGTTATCATAAGTCCAAATATGTACAAATCTTCCACGTCTTCAATGGAAAGCAGCGCCAAACAGATGAGGCTCCAGCCCCAGAGACCGGTGACCCGACCAGCCACCACCATTCCACTAGGACAGCTACGCTCCCCATGTTACAATGTTTCAAACATGACTTTTGACCTTTCCAGGTTTGATGGTCAGCAGCAGCTGTTTCTCTAAAGTTGAAAGCTTTTCCTTCTTGATGGTGTGTGTGTTAATGCACCCCTCCAGAGCAGCCGTTAGACAGAACTCCTGGTGATGATCAGTGAATCCATACATTTGATCAGCACCTCCTGGCTGATACTGACTTATCATTTTCTTTTTTATTATTTAAATTGCCCCCCCCCCCCCCACACCCCATTTACGTAAATCAATCTAAAGCTTTTTTGTAGATTTATAAATCAAATTGAAAGTCCAAAACAGAAATAATACCAAAGGAGTGAATGCAGTTCCAACCCTCTGTGTTTCTAAATATAATTTAGTCAAACTGAATGCTTTTATACAAACTTCTGAGTTGTGTCAAACGTTGCTTAAAGAAGCAAACGTCTTGTATAATTAATGATTAGAAACACTTCAAATAAGATCAGCTTATTTATGGAGCAAACATTTTTAGTTTATCCCACCTTTCCATTAACACAGTAAATATTAGATAAAAGTTAAAGGACACAATATTTTTAAAGTAAAGCTTTATTAAAGTAAACAAATCTTTTCAGCAGGAAGATTTCGAGCTCTACTAGAAACCCTGAAACAAGAAAACATCTGGATCTGTTCTGGCTCTTTAACAACTGGTTCTTTATCATTTGCTGCATCATTGTTGCTTATTTATTCTTTTTGTGTGTATATATGTGTGTGTGTTGACAGTGAAGCCTAGCATCCGTCAGCATCACAGCACCACCACCACCGCGAGGCTTTGATCCATCCGGGCTTCCATGGATCCATCCTGTCTGTCTGTCCATTCACCTGTCTCTCTGCTGCCTCCTGCTGCCTGCAGTCATCTCACTCTGTCTGCTTTCATGTTCTGTGTGGATAGATCAGCAGATGAGTATGTGGGTAACATTTTATATATCTATTATAACTTTAGAATGAAGACCACTGGAGTGAAATCAGAGGACTCGCTTCAGCTGTAAGACATGCAGACAACATGCTGAATATACAGAATGACCCTTTAATGATCATAATCTGAGAGCTGGATGACATGAAACATGTTGGTATTTTAACACAAGAACAAAAACTAAAATGTGCAAAAATAAGTTTACAAAGCTAAAAACTAGCAAAACAATAGCTCAAAGTTAAAACTAGCAAGAGTAGCTGAAAGGTAAAATCGACTCAACAGTATTTGTAAACTAAAACTTAGCTACTAACATTATCATAACAGTAGCTAAAATCTGCTGCCATCATATCAATAGATAAAAGTTAAAAACAGCAAAACAGTAGCTGAAAGCTAAAGGTATTAGAACAGTATCTGAAAATTACAGCCAGCATAAAGGTAGCTAGAAACTACAATGTGCAGAACACGTGCTGACAGCTAAAGCAAAAACAAACAAATCAAAACAGTCACCAAAATCTAAGGAATGGTTATTAGAACATTATAACATTAAGAACAGAAGGTCAAAACAAAAACTAACAAAACAGTAGCTAAAGGTACACAAGTGTGCAGAAAAAAATTATTAAAAGCACAAAGTTTTTTTTTCAAGGATTTCAAACGTTCTCAGTACAATACAGAAAAAAGTTGTAAATAAAGTGAAATCATTGAAAAAGTATAAAAATCAAAGCTCTAATGTTCTGTATGAGCCGAAATAGCTTAAAGTTGGCTGAAGTAATTACAGATCAACAAATGCAAAAAAAATAAAAAACTATAAACAGGAAAGCATTCATGTTATTGTTTAATTTATTTAAAGGGGACCTATTATGCAAAATTCACTTTTTAAAGTTTTTTTTACTCAACTTTGGGTATGTATTTCTTAAAAAAACAGTCCTAGGACCAAAAAATGCACCTAGGGGCATATTTACTGTAAGTAAATGTATTTTTAATGTATATTAAGGACAAGTTTTATACTTGCGTTATTTTGTGATGTCACAAGCCGTACGACAACCCACAGGAACCTGCGTTCAGCCCCTTATCTAGCAACCCCCGGGTGAGACTCCTCCTCCTCAGTATAAACAGCCGTCACGGTTGTTGTTGTTGTGCAATGCCCAATTCATTTCACAACAAGCCTCCAATAGGGCAGTGGGTAGAGTGTTGGACCAGAGAGTAGGAGACCAGGGTTCGAGATTGGCATGGACACTATTTAATTATTTATTTTCATTCGTTATGAACACATTTTCTCATGTACCTCTATTGTTTAGCTCATTAAAGCCTTGTTAAAGCCTATTTGTTCGAGTTTCTGAGGTATTTTGACCGCTGCTGCTCCCTGCTCTGGTAACAGCATGCAGAGTGAGCGCAGAGCAGAGGAGGGGGAGAAAAAAAGAAGAAGCTGTGACCACGACTCTGCCTCTGGGTCTCATACATATACAGTTGTACAACGGAGCTTCTGCTATTATTAGCCATGCTAACGTAAACGCTGGCTTTGGAGGGCGGAGTTAATGTCAGATTTTTGGAGGGCGTTACCAACAGAGCTCATTAACATAAACAGCTCTTCTGAACGGAAGTCAGAGCAGGCAGAACTAGAAAATGGGAAATTTTATTATCTGAGAATTATTTTGTGCHTTAAATTGAATGAACATGGTCTGGATAGCCCACAGACATACCATAAACATTTCTAGGACCCATAATTGGTCTCCTTTAAATTTTAATGCTAGTATTTACTCTTTTTGTGTTTTAGGACAGAGGTTCTGTTCTGATGTAACAAAAAATGTATATTTAAATTTTCCTGTAAAAATGTTAGATTAGATACAAATACAACAGTTATTGTACAACATTTTTATATGATTATAAATAAGTTATATGATGCTGGCTCATGTTGTTGAGTACATTACCAGTACAGAATCAGGGTGTTATGAATTCCTGAATGTAGATTGGATAATCTAATGTTTAAGAACTTAAAAATGTGTTTTCAATGATTCTCAGTTGCTACATCACACTTTAAGTTTTTGCCATTTCTGAAAGTTGGTTTAAGTGATACTTTACTAACACAGAGACAAACCAGCTTACACATATGGTAGCAAGTGCTAAAAGTACCTTTAGACAAATTTTCAAGTTTTACGTTATCAATAAAAGATCATAATAGAATAGTACAAATAATAAAATACTATGATAAAAAAATATAAATATAAAGACTTAGCTTTAAAACACATTTTAACTTTTATAACATTTAGAGTGAAAGGGTGAGAAGTATCTTAATTATTATTATTTTTTATTACTGTTTTCATCTTAACCAGAAACTGTATTTTCATTTTTAGTGCATCAGCATTTTTCCATTCTTTGGATCATGTCAGTATATCATTATTCTTTGGGTTATCTACAGTAGGGCTTTTCCAAACCAGCTCTCAGAGAGCTGAGAGTCGTCTGATGAAAAACAAACCTCTGAATGTCATTTCAGAATAAGAACTGAAACAAATCTGAAGAAATCCAGAAGAAGTGAATCTTTCTGAAGAACAACACTTTAATTTAAAGTTGTTAAATGACATTGATGTTGCAAAATGCAATACAAGTACAAAATCAAAAGGTTTATTTTTAAATTACTTGAATTTTTTTAAGTGTTTTATACATAAAGACTAAGGAATCTTTGAACAAATGTTAATCACCTTCCATGCTACAGATTTAAATTAAGATCATGTTAGTTACCAAGTACATTCCTGGTACTTCATCTTATACACCTGATACTTACCTTGTATGTACCTGCTACTTACCAAGTACATACCTTGTACTTGCTTTGTATATACCTGGTAACTATTAAATACATACCTGGTACATACCCTGTAAATACCTTGTACTTACCAACTACATACCTGGTACTTACCAAGTGCATACCTGATATTTACAGTCCATGTACACAGTAAGTAATAGGTGCATGCCCTGTAAATACCAGGTACATAGATGGTATGTACAAAGTACATAGATGGTACATACGAGGTACATATATGTACATAGCAGGTACATAAATGGTACATAACAGGTACATAGATGGTACATAGCAGGTACACAGATAGTACATAACAGGTACACAGATAGTACATAGCAGGTACATAGATGGTACATACCAGGTACATAGGTGGTACACACCAGTCACATAGATGGTACATAGCAGGTACATAGATGGTACATACCAGGTACATAGGTGGTACATACCAGTCACATAGATGGTACATAGCTGGTACATAGATGGTACATAGCTGGTACATAGATAGTGCATAGCAGGCACACAGATGGTAAATAGCAAGTACATAGATGGTACATAGCAGGTACATAGATGGTACATAGCAAGTACATAGATNATAGCAGGTACATAGGTGGGACATAGCAGGTACACAGATGGTACATAGCAGGTACATAGGTGGTACACACCAGTCACATAGATGTAAATAGCAGGTTGATTACATATTGCTATAAATAATTTGTTTATTTAAATCTGTGTTGTTGAAGCAGATAAACATTTTTTAAAGTAGAACTCCGCCCTCATCCACCCACTCCTGAGTGTTAGAAGACAAATATGAAATGCTTCAGTTTTTTCTGTTTTCGTTCTGTCACCAGGAGAGGCGACTTCCACCCCCAGTGCCTAAAAAGCCACTTAAGGGTCCTCATCATCACCCACCTCTGGCCAGAGACCGGTCACTGGAGAGCTCCGAGAAGCAGCGGCAGGAGGCCCGCAAACGCCTGATGGCTGCCAAGAGAGCGGCATCTGTCCGTCAGAACTCAGCTACAGAGAGCGCCGACAGCATCGAGATCTACATTCCTGAAGCGCAGACCCGGTTATGAGGCCTAACACGGGCCTTCTACTCCCCCTACAGAAAACTGGAACATGGACAGTTGTTAACTTCAAGGTAGAAAGGTGTAACCTAATGTGAATATTTTACTAATCCAGTGTTTTTTCTTTTTTGCTTCTCTTCAGTTTTTACCTGATCAGTTGTGTTGGAGTTTATTAGAACCAGAGCTGAACCCAGTATTTAGTTCAGGTTCAGGTTCATGTCTCGTTTTAATACGGGACTCAATCATTTATAGCTTTATGCTGTAAAACAACAGAAATGCCAAAACTTTATGACCACTACTATGAATTTATATGCTAAACATCCGCATGAGCCTTGATGCAACTCTTAAGCCTTCTTAAAGCTCTCCTCTGCTGTTTAACCACAACAAGACTTTTAGTCAGAAAACTTTGTCTGAAAGTTGGATTGAACAGAACAGTGTTGGTTTCTCAGTGAGATGATGGGTGAATTCTTCCAGTATTGAGTTAAAAGTAAAACCTAAATTAGAGTCTGTTCACCTCAGAGATAAAACTGGTTTGTTTATTTGTTCTGAATCATAAGAACAGAAGCCGTATCTCACTAGACTGGGACTGTAGGAGACTCAAAATTGTAAGAAAATGCACAAATTTTCTTCTTGAGTGTTTGCAATGAGGTGTATAAATCAGCAGCTTTATTACATTACAGTATATTGATTTGTTTGGATGATGATACAATGCTCCTCCATGTCACAAAGTCTGTTGTGATACCATCGATATGTGATGACATATGTCCATCTAACACAATAATTTAGAGATTTAAAGATTGTGTCAGATGGTCGAAATGATTGAACATTTGGAACAGGTGTTCAATGAAACATGGAGGAACAGGTGATCAGGTCATGCAGCAACCAGCAGGGGTGGGGCTACCTTTAAAAAGAAAAACGAAAAAAAAAATACAGAAGTTTAGATGACGTGTCCAGCTCACACAAGGCAAAAGTCTGAGTGCTGATAGAACGGCAATCCTTCATATTGGTCAGGCAGCCAGGAAATGAACAGCCACTAACACTGTTTTGTAGAACACCAGGAGACCACCAAGCCAATCTGTAGAATCCAATGATCAGAATCCAAATATATATCCAGAACAGAGCAGAACAGAGACATGATGATGAAGACACTGTATGGATCCATGTTTTCATTTTCTCTTTATGTATCTGAATCAGTAATCATTTGATCGATATATTGATGTGCATCAATGTGGATCAATGCATTTTCACATCTTTATTTTACCCAGTGACCAGTGAGCCACCAAGAGGTCAAATACAGGCACATATAGATACTAACACACATAATTAAACTTAGCAGATGCTTTTTTCACTCACTAAAATGAAACCAGCATAATTCATTTATTAAATTAAAATTAGAAAATCAACATGCGATTAAATAATTATTTGGCTTATTATCTTTTATTATTGAGATAATGGACCGTGTACAGTCAGTACAGTACATACTTAGGTATTAGGGGTGCAACGATACAGAAAATTCACGATTCGGTTCGATACTCTAGTCTCACGGTTCGATATTTTTTCGATACAAAACAGAGAAATTTCCACACCCCTTTTAACTTGTAATTTATTTAAATTAATTATCAACATTAACTGAGCCACCAACTGAGCGGCACGGTGGCTCAGTTGGTYGAGCTGATGCCTCTCAGCAAGAAGGTCACCGGTTCAAATCCCGGTCCGGGGACCTTTCTGGGTAGAGTTTGCATGTTCTCTCCGTGCATGCGTGGGTTCTCTCCGGGTACTCCGGCTTCCTCCCACAGACCAAAAACATGACTGTTAGGTTAATTGATACAGTGGTTTGCAAAAGTATTCATACCCCTTGAACT